GGCATGTAAGTCCGTGGTGACACTGCAGCGGGATAAGGGCCATGTGGTGGTTGGGGGTGGACAAGAACGTTCGGGAGTGAAGGAACAGCCTCTGAAAGTAGAGGCAAAATCAGTCGGTCTCTTGACATTTACAGCTGTAGGAGTTTCTTCAAATCAGCTTTTAGACTCGGGGCCAGAAAACCTTTTCTGTAAAGGGCCAGATGTTAAATATTTTAAGCTTCGTGGGCCATATGGTCTCGGCTGTGACGACTCAACTCAGCTATTGTAGCAGGAAAGCAGCCGTACACAATATGTAAATGAATGGACATGGCTATATTTACAAAAACAGGTGGCAGGCCACATTTGGCTCATGTGGAGTTGGCCTAAGCCTCTGTGTTCTTTACTGGTGTTTTCGGTAATTGGGGTAACCCCCCGACATTTGAGTGCCTCTGCTTCAGACATGTCCTCTCCCCTGAGGAGCCTTCTCAGAGCTTCTTTAGCCTCTGTACCTACCGCTGACAAGGTTTGGTGCTTCTGTTTGACTCCCAGAGCATCTGTGCCTCCCTTATAAGGGCCTTCATCACACGAGTAAATTGCTTCTTTAATCATCTGGTCAGTAGGTCCTAAGATCCAGGAACGCAGGAACCATGTCTGTCTTATTTATTATTATATCCCTGTACTTAGCTCAGTCATCTACAAAGAATATATTGAATAAATGGGTTTTGAATAAATAAATTAATAGGGCAGATTAGTCCTATAGGACAAGTGGGCTTATTTTTTAGGAGAATTCTGGCTGCATGGGGAAGCGAGGGCATGACGGTGGGAAATGGGCAGCAGCAAAGCCTGGAGGAGCTACCTCGTGTTGCACTTCCTTAGGATGGGGCTGCCATACCTGTGTCACCAGGGAGTTGCTGTCTCTGTGGGTAGAGGAGACCATTGTCCCCCATCTGGAATATTATTGGGTCAGCCCTTCCCAGAGCTTTTATACTTTATAAAAGAGAAGGAAGGTATAAAAAGGGAACCTCCTTAATTTTATTTAGTGACTCAAGGAAAAGTTGACATGGGGCAGAGGAGAGGGAAGTCTGGGTATGTCTGTAGGGGAGCAAGTGTGTGTCCCACTCACCCACATTAACACACTGCATGATTTTTCTACACTCTGTTTGTACCTTTGTCCCTTCTTATTTCAGAAGGCTGGTGCGTCTTTGCTTTGGGATTTAACATTATTTCATCTCTTTGCTGGTGCTTGGGCTATATCACCCACCAAAATCATTTGGCTTGGCATTTTGAGCCTGGAACCTGTTGCCTGAAGTTGTGGGGCGCATAGGTGATGATAACCTGGGATGGTACAAGTAGCCCCTGGTGGGTACCTCTTCAGGTTCACTGCTGGTAGACCCCTTATTCCACATTAGGAGATGAGACACCAGATCCACACACCTGTATTTCCTGTCTGGTTGCCCTGGAATTCCAGACTCTGCCTCCCCTCTCATCCCCTACCCCAATCACTTCCAGGGGCTGTGTCTTTGAGTAGAATGTAGCAGCTGGGGTCCCAGAGCATAGGGGGAGATTATTCTCTTTCTCTTCCCCAACTTGTGCTCTTGCAGATGCTCTTTTTGCAGGGCTGAGCCACTGCAGGGCAGTAAAGAGAGCATTGCCAAATGGTTTGGCATTGGCCAAGTGAAGTTTAGCCACATGGAATGGGCTCCTCCTGAGCTGGGTTCTCGTCACTCCCAGATAGGGTTGCCAGATAAAATACGGTATGTCCCAAGCAATATTTGGTTCTTATATAGAAAAAAAGAATTCATTGTTTATCTGAAATTCAAATTTGTCTTGGCTTCCTGTAGTTTTGTTTGCTAAATCTGCCAACGCTACCCAGACTTCCCTGACCTCGAGTCACTCACCATGCATCTACTGCGGTGGCCGAGAGGCCCCTCCAGGGACCACCTGACCTTGTCTTCTGCTTCCAGGAAGCCTGCCACCCACTCCTTTCAGGACAGGTGGCTAACAGATGGTTTTCCCCTGAAGACCTCCTGGCACTCTACCTGTCCTGCCCATACTAATATGCAGAATTGAAGAGATTTCACTTTGAGGTTTGAGGGTCAGCCTTACCCCAATCTTCTAGAGAATTCATAATTGTTTTTCCCAGAAGAACTGGGGCCCTCCACTCCTGGGAACTTGGAAGCTGGAACCTCACAGCCTCTCTCCAGGCGCTTCTTTAATTACAGACAGGTTGTAATTTGGCGGGTTGGGCGATGGCCAGCCTGGGTTTGTGGTGGTGGTGGTTTCTGTGTAGAGTGTGGTGAGCAGAGGGTGTGTGTTTAGAGAAGAAGGTGGGAGACAGGGTGGAAAAGTGGATGTGACTTCCTCTCCAGACTCATCAGTACCCACATATACAAACACCTGGTTTCATAACACTTGAGGTTACTGGAGTGAGGTCACCGCTCAGACACCTGATGTTTATGGGAAACAGAGCTCCACAGAATATACTCAGCTTGACCCCCAGAGGGGTGGCATGCCTCTGTCTGTGTTGGTTGTTGACTGGGGTTGAACAGGAAGTCAGCTTTCAATAGGGTTATGATTTTAGATGACTAAATATTTTGGGAAAGAACCCAAAATATTGTCTTGGCTGGTAGACCTCCTGGTCTCTAAGGATGCTAAAATGGTCATTAGGTTCATAGCCCTCAGGAATGTAAATATCTAGACCAGGGTAACAGACACAAATGCCTACAGGGGTTAAGTAGCCAAGTAAATCAGTGAAAACATTTGGGTGTAAGAAAAACATCAGTTACAATGGTAGCTGATATCTATTTAGCACTTCTTCTGTGTGAGGCACTGTTCTGAGTTCTTTAAATATATTTATCTGAATTATTCTGCATAACAACTTATTAAAGTCACTGCTATCACTTTCTCCATTGGAGAAGCAGGAAACAGACACTCAGAAAGGTTAAGTAATTTGCCAAAGATCACATAGCAAAGTTAAGTCGTAAGCCAGGATTCAAACCTAACAGTCTGGCTCTAAACTCCACAGTAGCACAGCTACAATGGCAAATCACACTTTGCCTCCATTTAGGGGAGAAAAGCATGAGTGGTGGGGATTCCAGCAAACCAGAAATCACGTGTCTCAACCAAAAGCGGCAGCTGCTCCTTGGCTATAGCCAGTTGCTTCACTGTGGGAATATAGGTCCCCGTGTTTCTAGTTGTTTTTTTTTTTAAAGAGAAGAATAATCTGAAATTTTAGGGGAATAATCTCCTGATTCTTCAATGTTGCCCACAAAATCATTTTATTATTATTATTTTATTTTTAGATACGGAGTCTTGCTGCATTGCTCAGGGTGGAGACAGTGGCTATTCACATGCACAACCTTAGCTCACTGCAGCCTTGAACTCCTGGGCTCAAGTGATCCTCCTCTTTCAGCCTCCCCAGTAGCTGGGACTGCAGGCACATGCCACCATGCCTGGCTATAAAATCAATTTTTAAAATAAACATTTGGGTAAACTGTCGCCCTCGGTATTGTTGGATTCTCTCCAGGGGTGACCAGTTGGAGACATCTGATTTAAACCACTCAGGACAGATTATTGCTGTCCTAAAGATTGCCCCCTTTTCCAGAAAATAATTAATTAATTTAAAAAATGTCTTATTTCCTTCAGAGACCTTTATTACTTTGTCAAGAAACCTTATTCATAGCCAGTTCCAGGGATTCCTGCTTCATTCACAACCGCTCTGCTCTGTGCTTCTTCCCGACAGAGTGTCCCAAGGGCCCTGACATCCTGGTGGTCCTGCTTTCAGTGATGGGAGCCATTCTGCTCATCGGCCTTGCCACTCTGCTCATCTGGAAGCTCCTCATCACCATCCATGACCGAAAAGAGTTTGCTAAATTTGAGGAAGAACGAGCCAGAGCAAAATGGGACACAGTAAGAGGCTGGGCTGGGCTGGGCTGGGCTGGGTGTTTTCTAAAGCTGTTGGTTCAAGAACCTGAAGTGGAAGCAGCAGATACTTAGGGTGGCCAGGTTCAACCAGCACCAGAGAGCTACTATTCACAACTACTAAACTTTGGGAGATTTTGTTACTTTTTGTTGGAAAATAATTTGGGAAACCTAGTAAGGGTCTTTTTCCTGATAACATGACAGTTTTGCGGGTATTGCTCGAAGTGATGAGATGAAGACAAATTAAGACTTATTTGGGCAACAGCCGTCCTCTGTGTTCTGACTGCCACCTGCTACATTTCACATCCCCAGCACTGTCACAATGAAGGAAAAGGGGAAAAGGGCAATGGAAGGGAGAAATGGAGAGGTTGGGTAGAAGCTATCCCAGAATGTTGTGGGATCACCAAAAATTGATGGGCTGAATTTAAACCCTTAGAAATAGTGGCAGGATGGCATTCCGCCTTGCCTCTCCTCATTTCCTGTCCATTCCCATCCTGAGAGCTAAAGTGTGAATAAAATGAGTACTAACCTGTTTCATTGATGGTATATTCTAGAGAAGGGTGTCTCAGGCAGACTTCTCAGTTGAGATTTAAACATTTAGGGCAGGGAAGGACCGAGGCATTCACTGTAAGACACTTTTCTGTTCTCTCTGCAGGCCAACAACCCACTGTATAAGGAGGCCACGTCCACCTTCACCAACATCACCTACCGGGGCACTTAATGACCTGCAGTCACCACCGTCAGATCATTATCAGACTGTGCCGGGATTGTGGGAGTCTCTGCTGTCATGTTTACAGAGGACAGTATTTGTGGGGTGGGATTTGGGGCTTGGAGTAGGGTGGGTTGGGAGAACATCAGCATGTGGAAGTGTGGGTCTCTGTGTGTGTGTGTGTGTGTGTGTGCGTGTTGCGTGTGAGGGAATGTGTATAATTTAAAACTTGTGATGTGTCCTAATAAGCAGAGCTCCTCGGCCTTTGTCCTCAGAATGCCTCCTGCAGGGACTCTTCCTGCTTAGCTTGAGGGGGACCGTGGAGCTGAGCAGGTGTTCTTCATTACCTCAGTGAGAAGCCAGCTGTCCTCGTGAGGCCATTCTCTCTGAAGAAAAGGGCAGGGCTGAGGTCTCTGAATCCAGAGGAAGGGACACCAAGCCTTGGCTCTACCCTGAGTTCATAAGTTAATGGTTCTTGGGCCTGACTCTCAGTAGCCATGTAGGAACTACTGGGCTTTTGCTGCCCCAGTGTGTCACCTGGGCCTCTATCCCCTTTCCCTTCCCTCAGGTTGAAGAAGGGGTCAGGGGAGAGCTGGACTGTCCGAGCTGCCTGTGCCTTTTACCATCCCCAGTCCAGCTATGGTTCTCTCACAGGGGAGTCCTTGCTACCTAATTCTTTGACCTTTTGGGAGTAAGGATGGCAGGGCCACTCAGGGGTCATGCATGGCCTGGGGGATGTGCCAGCATCATAATCACAGCCCTTCAGATTTGCGTCATTGGCAGCTCCATGCTGGAGGTTTGTTTAGGAGAAATGTGCCAACCTTAGACTACCACCACCTCTTTACCTCCTACTGCCACACCCTCGCTGCTGCAGACCTTTGCCATGTGCTGAGGATTTCTCTCATGACCAAATGCTTTTCCTCCACGGGAGAGTGCTATAGTTTAGAGCCAGAGGTCTGGGCCTACCCTTCAGGCCTTTTGCTCCTTGTCCAAGGCACCTCCATGTACCTAACCCTGTGCCTCTGTGTGCTATATCCATCCATGGGGCTGATGGCATTTATCTACTACCTCTTGGGTGTCTTGTGAAGGAATCATTCCAGTGGGTCTACTGGGCATAAGTACCAGGATGGAATGATGGGCCAGTTGTATCAGCATGTGTGTGTGACCTGTTCTTCTATGGGCCACACAACCTCACTTAACTCAGTCTTTGATCTGAGAGGCCACAAGTGCAATTTTATTTTGTTTTTCTCATCGGGGCACCTGAATCCATGATAAGGTTTGCTTCATCTAAAGGAACATGTACATGAAAATACTTTCATTGTATCTGTAAGTTTATGTGATAGCAAAGAAGGAAGCATAGAAAACCACACAAACATGGGGTATGCAGACACTTGGGGGGACATAGCATCATTCCTAGCAAGTCACTGCCCAGTCGCTAGCTCTGTAAGGGGCTTTCTAATCCCCGAAGCCTGTGGGGATGGATGTATGGACACACTGGACCTCTCCTGAGGAGGAAGGACTGTTCTTTTATCCCATCAATAGCAGTTGCTCCATTGGCATTGACATACATCTAACATTAAAAACCACCCTCCCCCACTGCCCAGGAAAAAGGGAAAGACTTATAAACAGTGGTCTGATGAGCAGAAAATCTGAGTCCTGGCCTCAGTGTTGCAAGTAAGGAATCTTTAACCTTAATTAAGAAAAGTCACTTCTCCCTGGGGCTCAGTTTTCTACTCTGAAAAATGATGGGTTTTGAACAGCTACTCTTGAAGGTCTCTTTCAGTATCAACAATGTAAGATTTCTAGTCAAAGGGACGAGCAAAAAAAAAAAAATAAATAAAAAAATAAAAAAAAACAATGTAAGATTTTGGGACTTACTGTGGCATCAAATATGCAGTCAAAATTCTGTGGAATATTGATACTATTTGTTTTTCTAGTTGGGAGATCTGAGAAGACCTGGCTTTGGCAAGAGCAGATGTCATTCCATATCACCTTTCTCAGTGAAAGTCTCATCCCATCCTCTCTCTAAGCCCCTTCACCAACTTTTGTTAATAGTTATGTCTTCTGATGTAGCACTGAAGTTCCATTTAGTTATTATTTCTTACTTCACTTTGCATACATTTGCATCCACATATTAGGGAAGAGGAATCCACAGGAAGTAGCTGAAATGTATTAATATATTCTGTACCCTTGTGTTAATATAGTAAGTAAGCCTTGGGATTAGGAATGGGGTAATGACTGAGCCCTGTCTCACCCATGGATTACTCCTTACTGTAGGGAATGGGAATTTGGTAAAGGGATAAATGGGGGTGGGGGAGGGATAACCATGAATCTAACAAATTTATAACCTAACTGTAACCTTCAGCTACTGAGACAGAGTCCATGAGACTATTAGTGGGACATTTTCTTTAGATAAGATGGTTTATGTGAAGAAACTATATTAAAGGGGGAAGAAAATGTATAAAGGATGAATAAAATCAGTAGGAGTCTCGTCTGAGCTACTGGAATTAGGTTCATAGGCCTTGAAGACCAGTACTGTTTGTATGTGGGGATAATCTGTAACTCTGTTCCGAGATAGTGAACAGCAGTCGGTTTTGGTACGTAGGGTGAACAGCTATGTGGCATTCTGGCATTGGATAACATAGCACAAAGGGATTGTGCTCAGTTCTTTTGGAGATCATTTATGTCCAGACTCAGGATCTGTGTATATACAGGAAACTTTGAACATTCCTAACAAGTTGCCATATTAGAAGTCAGTTATTTACCTCTCAGATATTCCTAGACCATCCATGATTTCAAGATACTTCTCTTTTTTAAGTATTCCTGGTTGAAATTACTTATGTCCCTTTCTGATTTCCTAATCACCCTCTGTGTTTGAGTTGTGCAACATTGAATTAAATGTGCTTTCCGAAAAGAATTTGCCTAAGGCTGCCCAGTGCTTCCTGTGTTGTTATTTCTGTTTCCTTTGGGTGAAAAGAATAAGTGTCATTGCCTCACAAATGATTACTTTAGAACACGCATGTTTCTAAATGTAACAGAATGATGACTGCTGTGGGTACTGAAGCTAGCTTCAGAAGCCAGGGCTTTTCTTTAGACTTAATATATTTTCAAAATGAGGAGGTTATTACTGTTCTAAGAGTTTTTTTTTAATTGAGTATTATTTAGGAATTTGCACAACTTCAATAGAACAGACTTCCAAAACAGCCTAGCTTTTGTTTGTAGGAAGCATAAATGGATAAAATAAAGGCTTTATGGCAAATTATTTATAGGACCATGTAATACATAAATTTTATTTAAGGCAATGGGTATCAATGTTTGGTCCCAAGACCAGCAACATAAAAATCAGCTGAAAATTTGTTAACAATGAAAATTGACAGGCCCTAACCTAGAACTACTTGAATCAGAAAATCTGGGGATGGAGGCCAGAAATCTGTATTTTAATAAACCTTCCTGGTGATTCTGATACATGCTCAAGTTTGAGAACAGCTGATTTGAGGAATCACATACGTATCCATCTGGCCTAGAAAAAAGTTTATAGTAAATCAGCTTGGTTACTATATGCTTAAGAACATATCTTGGCTGATTCAGAAAATCAAATATTCAGCCAGACAAAATGAAAATCTACTTTTGATCCATTTTCCAAGTTAAGTGTTCTCGGGCTTCTTGGGTTCACTCACAGCCACAAATTCCCATGAAAAACTAAAAAGACAGATCCAAATCCAGGGAAAACAGCTAATAGGATACTTGGCAGGCACATAAGAAAGCTTTTTATGTCTAGCAAGCTGCAAGCAAGAAAATACTCTTACAGAATTTATTCACAGGAGATGGGATCAAAATCAATTATTAGCATTATCATCCATAGGATTCTGAAATAAGACTTTAGAATTTGTAACTTTACTTTTTGTTATTTAAAATTTATTGAGAACTGACAGTGTGGGATTTGAGCACTTTACAGAACACTCATAACCTTTGCCTTTGAGTCTTAAATTCCCTACAGAATGTACATTTTTTTGAACACAATACAATGCATGACATCATAGATTACATGAACATAGACTGAGTCCTTTTATAGTGGAATCTTGTGAGATTTGCTGTGTTTTATGTACATCTCAGTGCTGACTAAATGTCTGGATGAAATTGGAGGATCTTATGTGAAAATGAAATGAAAAGCTATATGTCAAACCACATTTGTAATCCTTTAACTCTTGGACTCTGCAGTCTCAACTTTACAGTAACAGAGCCATCTAATGACCACTGGGACCAATTACAAGCAGATTGTCTGGGAATTACAATGCACTCAATTTTCACCATGACATAATGGAATGATAATATATGCTTTGCAAATAAGTCATCTAAAAATCATTTGTATTTAGTTTTATAATACAATATATTTATGGGAATACATATTGCTAATTTCATTTGCCTAAAACATGCAAGGAGGCAGTCTTAGATGTTTGTGATTAGAGTTAAGTATATCACTAAATAAAATTTTAAAAATCCACTTAATGTAGCTACCTAAGAATAGTTTGTATGTGAAGGGAAAAGTAAGAGATCAGGAACTTTATTACCTTCCTTGCAGCTTCTAATGTCATAATGATGTCCCTCTAACTCCTTGCATAAAGGAAAACATCAGCTGGTATTTGCTGACAATACACCAAAGAATGCACACTGAAAGCAACATTTATAAAATTTAAGAGCCTTTAGGCAAAATGCCCATTGTAAATTATTCATTAGCTGTGTCTTAGAAAGAACTTTGTAAGGAAAAAGTTTCACAATTGATTTTCTTTTACCCAGTATGTTAGCTGGGTTTTCCAGTCACTCGTAAATAATTGGCATGATTCTTTGGAGAGGTCCCAATGATGGGTGTGTAAATATCACTTTGGCCAACGGAAATACTTGAAACACGTTGATGGGTATATGCTGGGCTTTGCCTTTCCTGACCTTTATAAACACCATTATGACGGGGATTGCTAATTGTGACCCAGTATCTGTTTTCCCATTCTCACACAGTATTAGAACTCCTAGTTTTTAGTTGGGCACATGGCTTCCCAGAATAAATACTACGTTTCAGAGTCTCTCTTGTAGCTAAATATGCCATATCCATCTTATGAGATAGATAATGAGATGTAAGTGAAAGAGGCACATGGAACTTCCAGTAAATGCCATTTAAGGGAAAGAGCATACCTTTCTCCATTTCCTTCATCCTGCAGGCTGGAATGTAGAGGCAATAGCTGGAATTTAAGCAGCCACCAGAGGTCAATATGTGACCTAGAGGATTGTACTAT